AATGCTCCGCCAACATATTGACTGGTAGCTTGCCTGTCCATGATGCGCCACCAATAACATCCTTCACGGACGGTTTCTTGGGCTCCTCCGGCACTTGTTTCTTTACTTCGCTAGCTTTCTCCGCAACAGCTTTGGCTTGTTTCGTACCCGGCTTGGGGCCACCCTTGCCATCGCCTTTCTTCTTAGGTGGCATTTTGTGTGTGGTGAGTGTTTTGCGCAAAAGATAACTTTTTGGAGCCTCAGGCAAAGGATCGACCCGCACTAAACCACTTTGGGATTGCGGGGAGCATACGGAGGAGTGCAGCGACCATGGGAGACTTAACTCCCAACAGGGCGCATGTGCTGTACTTTTACTTGGCCCACTGATGTGAGACTTGGATTTTGTTGCATCAAGGCAATGCTACACCTAATATCTACTGTGTGACCAAGAGCCAAACGTCTGCACCAACAATCATGTCCGGAGAGCACTCCAGTCCGAGCAAGGGCGAGCCAAAGGAGCAAACTGGGACATCGGAAAAGAGAAACGCCTGTAAAGATACCCAGAGTATTGTCACTGAAAACTACTTGACTAATATATCCATTGACAGTTACCGAACTCCTGGCCCCCAAAAGCAAGCAACCCAAACACGCGACTAAAAACCCGTCTGATCGCAACGCGGCCAAGGGCAAGACTGCATTTGGTGTTCGCGACGGACTAGGCGCCTACATCGCAAAGCCTGAGACATACCCTCCCGATGTCGTAGTCTACCATAATGATGAATTCGTGGCGATCCACGATATGTTCCCAAAGTCATCGTTACACCTGCTCCTTCTCCCCCGCGATCAGACCAAAACGCGCGTGCATCCATTTGATGCGTTCGAGGACGCCGAGTTCCTAGCAAAAGTGAAGGCCGAAACCCGAACACTCCGCAAGTTGGCAGCGGGGGAACTGCGACGCAAATATGGGAAGGACTCTGCACGGGAGCAGGCGAGACAGGCAGCGCTTAGCGCTGATCCGCCTCCGGACAAGCTACCGCAGGGTCGGGATTGGGAACAGGAGATCATGGTCGGGGTGCATGCTGTACCATCCATGAACCATTTGCACGTCCATGTGTTATCAGTGGATAGGTATAGCGAGCGCTTAAAGCACCGGAAACACTACAATAGCTTTTCGACACCATTCTTCGTGCCAATCGAGGACTTCCCACTGGCGGAAGATGATGTGCGACGGAATCCGACGAAAGAGGGGTATCTAAAGCGAGATTTTACTTGCTGGCGCTGTGGTAAGAGGTTTGGGAATCGGTTTGCGGAATTGAAGCAACATCTGGAGCAGGAGTTTAAAGAATGGAAGAAACTGTGAGCTATCGGTGTGCTTGAGAAGATATACCAGTACTGCCAAAACAGGCACAGCATGGTATATATTGGATTGAACTTTCCAAAAGTGATCCTGTTTGGCGTCCATGGGAGCTAAACTGGGCCAAAATCTTCTATCTGGTAGATATACATGTCTCCTGCGACAAGCAGTAGGGGCTAGTGCATTTCCAGCACATACCCATGGCTGCCCTCACACTAGACAAAAACTCCGACAATGGTATACATCGAACAGAAGTGTCTATTTCCTCCATCCGCGATATGGCTGTCGTGTGTGCATTTACGCACGGGCCTTAGAGCGGCCCTTGACCTTTCGGGCCTCGGGGCGGTTGATGTGGTGGGAGGGAATCCAATCAGCGTTGTAGGCACTGGCGGAAGAAACTGCAGCGCCGCTGGAAGGCTCCTCAGTAACAGGGGTCTCAACGCGCTTTGCGCCACCCTGGGTGCGCTTCTCGCTGGTCTTTCCGGACTTGCGCTTCTGGGGGAAGTAAGGAGCAACCCAAACGGTGTAGACGAAGTAACCAGTGCCAGAGACACAAGCCAGCAGGAAGAAGTAGAGGAAGATACTGATATCAATTGTTAGTCCCATTGACCTCACACGACTAAGGTAAAGGGGGGGGGGGGGGGGGGGGTGGGTGGGTCCTACATTTGAGGGTCAAAGATGCTGGTATCCGCCTCCACGATGCTAACGGTGCCATTGTGGGCAATCACAGGAACCAAACGGCCCTCGCTGTCCGAAATGATGGCAGAAAGAGTCATCTGAAGATCCTGGGGGTGCATCTCGGTGGCGAAGCTGTAGCTGATTGTCTCCTTCGCGCCAGCGGGAACCTCAATAGCGTAACGAGTGGCAGTCAAGTTACGGACAACTTGGGTCTGATCATCGGGGTTGCGAAGGCTGCCGCCAACAAAGTTCACCGTGATAGGGTTCGGCTCATCGTTGGAGATGGCGATCAGCGCCTGGGTAGGGTGACCGTTGACAAGCTTGATACCGAAGATCTCGGAAGCAGGGAAAGACGCCAGGGCTGAGACAGCCAGAGCGGGAACCTCTGCTTCAGCATTCTCAGCATCCTACAAGTTCAAAACCGAATAATTAGTCAATTGAGTCACGCGACGTGGTCCCAGATCCAAATCACGAAAAACATACAGCAGCAAAGCCGGTGCCAACGAAGGCCTGGAGAGAGAGTAGAGCCAGAGAGAGGAAACCAAAGCGAGTCATCTTGAAGCCGGAAGGAAGAAAAAAAAAGAGAAAAGGGAAATAAGAAACGTGGAGAAATCGAGGTCAAGACGAGGAGCAGGGGAATATTTGGCTCCACGTATGCAAAACCGGGGAGCTGACTCAGCCAGATAGCACCCGCGGTCTTAGATAGATTTTTTTTTATTTGAAGCAAAGACGACGACTATAAAATCTCTCCTTATATCAATTAATTTAATGAAGTGAGGTGCTGATTCACTGGTGATCACACTAGTTCCAACACTTTACGCGCTTGGTAGATTGTCACCTCCTGCAAGCGCTTGCCAACCGGAATTTCCCAGTTCGCTGTGATCAGACTTGAAACTTGCTTCTCTCCCTTCCTTTCTTTCTTCCTTATCTTCTGTCGCATTCATCCTCTTCGCAATTTCCACTTTTTTCAGATCTGCAACGATAACTCAATCTACAAAAATGGCGACCCAAGCTTATTTAGAGCGCTATCGCCAGCTAAGTGCTCTGGACCAGCAGAAGAATGACTTCATTGAGGTACCAACCATTCCTCCCTTGGTCCTGATTCATTCTAACCAGACTCATTATAGGAACTCCTTCAACGTGTTACCGCCCTAGAAAATTCCTTTCAACAAGAGAAACTCGACCATGAACGCGAAACCCGGTTCAATCGTGAGGTTCAGGTGCATGAAATGGAGCTGATGGACCAGATATCAGTTGTCAAGAAAATGATGGTGAGCACAGCTGTGGACATGCTGTCTAAGCTCAGGCTAACATTCACTTTTTTTCTCCCTCTAGGACCGCGAACCATTCGTCGTGTTACTTTTAGACGGCGAAGGGATTATATTCAAGGACGAATTTCTGCAACTAGGAGAACAGGGTGGACGCAATGCAGCCAAGCAGCTCTGGAAATCTCTCCAGAGCTATGTTTCAACAATTCTTTCCACGATCACTGAGCCGAAGATAATGACAAAGATCTATCTTAATGTGAAGGGACTTATGGAGACTTACATCCGGGGTGGAATCGCCCTAGAGGCCTCCACCATCAGTGAATTTATTCGTGGATTCAATGAGAGCGCATCATTCTTCGAAATTGTGGACGTTGGAACTGGCCAAAGCAAAGCGCATGATAAAATCAAGGGTATGTGGTACGAGCTGACATGACAGAACCCGTTGCTGATTCGCTCCATTCCAGAGGCATTCAAGCTTTACTTATACAACTGCCATTGCCACCAACTCTTCCTAGGCTGTCCCTCCAATGAAGAATATGCTCGGTCATTGACAGAACTCATTTCTGGTGCGAATTATAAGGGCCGAGTCTCGCTAGTTGAGGGTCTTCCGCTTGAGAAAGAATTTGATTATTTCCGAGAGCAGGACTATCGAATCACCCAGTTCCCAGATGTTTTCCGCACCACAAAGATTGCTCCAGTTACATTGAGTGCACCGAGTGCAGCGGGTGCACCGTCTTGGGCTGCTCCCTGGAAAAGCGCAATCCCTTCGCGGACTTTGCTCACACCTTCGCCAACCCAGCAATTCCAAACGCCTGCTCCTCTGTCACGAACATCTACCAGTACCAGTGTGTCAAATTTGGGCGCCCCATTGGCCCCAGTGACAAATAAACCCGAGTCTTCTGATTTCCAGGTTGTTCGGTCCAAGATGCCTGGTACAACCCCCCCAAAGACGGTGGAACGGAATAAGTATGGCCAGCGGGTTGATCGGCTCGACTTCAAGAGCATTCCCCGCGATGACCTTAACAAACTGAAGAAGCTCAAGCTTTGCAACTATCATTTCTTGCTCGGTGAATGCCCTAATGAAGAGAATTGCTATCATGACCATGATCGCAAATTGTCCCGCCAAGACCTGCACATTCTGTCTGCCATTGCCCGCATGACGCCCTGTCGCTTTGGTCTAGAATGTGATGACGTTGAGTGTATCTATGGTCATCGTTGCCCTCAGAGCGAGCCTGGTAAAAAGACTTGCTTCCGAGGCGACAGCTGCCGCTTTGAGCCCGTGGCGCATGGTATTGACACGAACATTGTCAAGGTTACAAAAATTTGAGTGGCCATCTCTCGCAATCTTATGCTCACCTGTGATCTGAACCTTTTGCACTTACAAGGTCCTAAAATATTGTCTATCGAGTTCGGCATGACCGGGTTTGAGATTTCACGGGGAAAAAGTTCAAGGGAAGCACCCATGACATTATCAAAATTTCGATCATTCGGGAGTTATGGACGGTGCATGAGAGCAGGCTTGCTATACAGTCATTGAGAATTCAACGTTGTTTTTTTTCCTTCCATGCGGGTGAAAAAGACGGTTCCAGGCGCAACAGACTCAACTATCTATCTATTGATTCGAAGTTTTAAATTGTATTAGTATAAAGGATCAATCCATACAAGATATATTTAGTGGGTATTTGAATTGATAATATTACAAGTCTTGGGAATCGTACAATTTATGTATGGATAGTCGTGCCGAACATGGCAAAGCGTCTCTCCCATCCAAAACAATCAGGGTAGGCGCACACCTCACCGCCGTCAATATCCATGACATTGGGGTCTTTGCCATGGGTGCACCGAACGCCATATTCCTTGATGCAGCACTCAAATGGGCGCGACTTCACTGGTCCCCAACTTTGTTGACCAGAAGCCATGGCGTTCGACTTTTCCTCCTCGAGATTGCCCCATAGGAGGAAGAGCTTCTCTTTCATTGCTTCTAATCTCGATGGGTAGTCACGGAGATTGAATGCATTATCATCAAGAAGAAAATCACCGTCTTGACCAGACACATAGAGCTTCATCACTTCTCGGGCTAGTTGTTTGGAAGGTTTGGGCTCAACCCCCTCCACAAGCAGGCAAAATCGCCATTCCCAGCCAAATTGAGACTCGAGATTGGTTTGAACTGCAAAGTCTTCTATCCTTGGGGGAAAGAAGTCGACCACTCGGACTTGAGAGTGATAGGTGACGTTTTGAAAGGGAAGTTGGTAGACAACGCCCCCTGGGGCATTGTTAAGATGGGTTTCTGCCAATAAAATCTTCTCGAGAGGGACATTGGGCACTGTGTAATTTTTGGTTTTCACTATATATTCATCAGCTAATATGCTTCTCTTAGGGAAATTAATAACTCACCATGTGGATTCAACTTGATTCGTGATGCTGCTGGCATGGTCAGTTGGCCTTCTTCTTTCCGGGCCTCCTTTTTCTGCTCGGCTTTCTTGTTCTTTTTTTTGGCCTTTTTGGTGTCTGTCTTGGGTTCACCGTGGATCTTCCAATATTCTGTCCGGCGGTTCATCAATTCTTGTACACGCTCATCAGTGCCACCATTCACCTTCCGGACATGGATCTTCTCCGGGTACTGTCTGTCTTCATGAACAGCAGCTTCCAAGCCACGACGGCATTCCTTAATACGGACATAGGTCAATAAAGCGACGTCACCTGCCTTGAGGTGTTCCCGGGCATAGGTAGCATGCGGTTCCCATAAAGTCACTTCAATGGTCAATTTGCCCCATGGGCCTGGCCAGGTCGGTGATTTGTGTATATAATTAAATCGGTCGCCCTCAGGACCTGATTCATCATCTTCGCCCCCGGGTTTCTTGTAGTTGACAAGCTCCTCATTCTCAGTAAAATCAGTCAAGTATAGCAGACATTTCTGGCTGTCATAAGTATTGAGGGTCACAACTTGGCCAAGTAACTGACACAATTTGCCAGCCTTTGCAGAGTGAATAGGGATATACGGTAATCCTCCAAATTTTGGAACTGGATGAGAGGCTGGCTGAGGGGCTTGAACGTGAGAAGGCTGCCGAGAGACGGGTACATTGCACGACGTGGATTGTTGCACAATGATTCCTTCGGTAGATACGCGATCCAGGAGTGATTGTGCCTGGTCCTTTTCCTTCAAAGTCGGCTCGAAAGGGATAGGACCACTAGTGATGAACGGGCTGGAGGTCAAACTTGGCTCTGGTCGGAAAATAACCCATGGCACAGTGGAGTGCTGAGAAATAACCGCTGTTGGTTTGTTCTGGTAAAATGTCACCTGAATGGTATCAGCTTACCATGCTGCAGCATTCATGTAAATCCACTCACCTGGATGTTTCGTAGTAGTACAACATCTTTGAGCTTGACATCGGGAAGATGGCTCTCATTATCATTGAAATATTTGACTTTAAGACCACCTCGCCAGGTTGGTGCATCAAAATCAGAGTCTTTGATGGTGAATGTAACGCATGCCGACGAGCCTCTGGTCCGAAAAAGTGGTAAAGTGTCAACCACCACTCCTAGGACATTGCAATTCCCTTGTGAATAACGAGCAGTGGTAATATCCAGTAGATCACCAGCCATGTCTTGTTTTGAGAAGAGCTTCAGTTAGACGTCCTGCAAGCTCCCGAAATAACACAAACCAGTAAAACATGCAGGTTTTTTTTTTTCAACAAGGCATAATAGAGTGATTGCTATGAATAAACATCCAAAGAAGAAGAACTTCCAAAAGCATAAGAGGAAGAGCTTGCCAAATCCGTTGATGTAAATAAAATGAGTAATCACGTGATAGTATCGTTTCCCCTCCCACAGAAGTCTTCTTCCCCCCACATCAGATCCTCTTCCTTCTTCCTACTCTCCTTCCATCCCCCCAGCGCGCCCACTCAACATCACCTACACAAAACCGGCGCGCTTAGTCTTCTTCTTTCCATCTTCATCATGGCGGAACGCTATATTCCCGAACACCGCCGCACGCAGTTCAAGGCCAAGAACCAGTTCAAGCCCGATGAGCTCCGCCGCCGTCGTGAAGAACAGCAGGTCGAGATTCGCAAGGCCAAGCGTGATGAGAACTTGGCCAAGCGACGTGGTATCCAAACTCAGGATGGTAGAATCGGAGTTGGTGGCATGGCAGCCGCCACCGAGAGTGATGATGAGGCCAGTGCTATTGAGAGTGAGGTAGGTCTTGGAAATTTTCTTTGATCCTTTTGAATTTGTTTCATTCTATATCCTATTTGGATTTCTACGGGCTCATGGTGTGGTTGCCACCCTCTGGGGGTCTTTTGAGATTTCTTTGTTTTTATGATGCGATCATCAACAAGGAATTTTTTTTCACCGCCCTGTTGCCATGGCCCACGAAGCCCCTCCAAATCGGATCTCTGAGCCCGCGCCCCACTGCAATAAAAAAAAATTACATGAAACCAAGCTAATATAATGGATTATTTAGCTCAACGTCGAGCTTCCCCAGATGGTGAAGGGAGTTTTCTCCGACCAGGTTGAGGAGCAGATTCAGGCCACCACTAAGTTCCGCAAATTGCTTTCCAAGGAGCGCAACCCCCCTATCGAGCGTGTTATCGAGACCGGTGTCGTTGCCCGTTTCGTCGAGTTCCTCCGCTCGCCTCACACCCTGGTTCAGTTTGAGTCTGCCTGGGCTTTGACCAACATTGCCTCCGGTTCCGCCCAGCAGACCCAGGTCGTCATTGAAGCCGGTGCCGTCCCCATCTTCGTCGAGTTGCTTAGCAGCCCTGAGCCCGATGTCCGTGAACAGGCCGTGTGGGCCCTCGGAAACATTGCCGGTGACAGCCCCCACTGCCGTGACTTCGTTCTGGGCGCCGGTGCCCTGCGCCCGCTTCTTAACCTCATCAACGATGGCCGCAAGCTGAGCATGCTCCGCAACGCTACCTGGACTCTCAGCAACTTCTGCCGTGGCAAGACTCCCCAGCCTGATTGGAACACTATCGCCCCTGCCCTTCCCGTCCTTGCCAAGCTCATCTACATGCTGGACGACGAGGTCCTGATTGACGCTTGCTGGGCTATCTCTTATTTGTCCGATGGCGCCAACGACAAGATCCAGGCCGTCATTGAGGCCGGTATCCCCCGTCGCCTGGTGGAGCTCCTCATGCACGCTTCTACCTCTGTCCAGACCCCCGCCCTCCGCTCCGTGGGTAACATTGTCACTGGTGACGACGTCCAGACCCAGGTGATCATCAACTGTGGCTCTCTTCCTGCTCTGCTCTCCCTCCTGAGCTCCACTAAGGATGGTATCCGCAAGGAAGCTTGCTGGACTATCTCCAACGTCACTGCTGGCAACTCCAGCCAGATCCAGGCGGTCATCGACGCTGGCATCATTGCTCCCCTTATCAACTTGCTTGCCAACGGTGACTTCAAGACTCGCAAGGAGGCTTGCTGGGCTATTTCCAACGCCACTTCCGGTGGTCTCCAGAAGCCCGATCAGATCCGCTACCTTGTTTCGCAAGGGTGCATCAAGCCCCTGTGTGATCTCCTGGCCTGCCCTGACAACAAGATTATCCAGGTTGCTCTCGATGGCCTTGAGAACATCCTCAAGGTCGGAGACATGGACAAGGAGTCTGGCCAGCCCGGTGAGGCTCGTGTCAACCGCTACGCTCTCTTCATCGAAGAGGCCGGTGGCATGGAGAAGATCCACGATTGCCAGAACAACGCCAACGAGGAGATCTACATGAAGGCCTACAACATCATTGAGAAGTACTTCTCTGACGAGGACGAGGCTGGTGGTGACATCGAGGAGCTTGCTCCCCAACAGACCCAGACTGGATTCGCACTCGGCACTGGCCAGCAGCAACCCGGTGGCTTCAACTTCGGCAACGGCGGTGATACCATGGATATGTAAAGACTTGTCTTTTTTCCATGCCCTATCCCCCTCCCTGTATCTTCTTCCGATTTTTCTCAAAACCAAACGTCGAAGCTGCGCCCAGCGTATCCTCGCATGGGCGGGGGCATCACTGGCTATCGAGAAGCCAGGTTGCGCCCACACAGCCTCGACGCCTCGTGCGCTTCGACCAAGCTACTTCTCGGGCTGGTGTTGCGTCTAAACAGTTTCTGGTGCTCATTTGATTCCCTCATCTTCTCTTGTCACGAATTTCACTTCCCCCCCCCTTCTTCTTTTTTTTTTGATTTCACGATAAACAAGATTCACCATCATGTATCCCCTCCCCCACCCTTTTAGCATCCTCATACACAGGCGCATTTGTTTGCAGGATCGGTTTTCTCTCTCCAGTTACGTTAATGTCCCCTGACTATGGTGTTCCTTGGCGGGGCATTGGTCTCCTGCGCGGGAACTTCGTCGCTCGCTGGCAACAGGGCGTGATGGCACATTTTGCTCATACACCGCTCATAATCTGCTCAAGTCATGCCCCTGAAAATGTTATTGTCTCGTGGTACACTTTGAAGTTCGCCAGGAAAAATGCCAAATTTCACTTGATCAATCTTTTCTTCTGTAGTTGTTTGCCAGTATTATTCCTATCTTCCCTAGAAAAATTGTATCTGTATTCTCTTTCTTTGAACTGGGCATGAATTGAATGGGACTTGCAACATTTTGATGTTAAGATACTAGCTATAAGGAAGCCTTAAGGCAGCAAAAGAGGAAATGCAATCAAACCTGCAATGGAAGTCTACATGCACTTTATGTCCTACATACTATACTACAATTCCAAATCAACATTTCAAAAATTACATCAAAGACCAGAGGGGAATAGATTTCAATCAAACCAGCGAAGTAACAGCAAAGCAAGGATTAAGAACAGTGTATAAGATATACAGGTTGGAAAAGAGGAGGACCATATCCACGCAAACGAGAGCAAAGAAGAAAGATACAGTTAATTCAAGCCATAATCCATAAAAGAGCGAAAAAAAAGCAGAGGAAAAAAAAGGAACAAGAAAAGAAGGAAACAGGCAGTGAAACGGCAAAGAGAGTATTTTGTTCAGGCACACGTTAACGTCAAATAAGATAAACTAGATCAGTCGCCCATCACCTCATCCTCATCAGATTCAGGTGCAGGAGTAAGTTCCTCGTCCTCGTCCCCATTCTCATGATCGATATCCTCCTCCACAAGTCCGCGCGCACGCAGATCCTCATCCTCGTCTTCCTCAATAGGCTCAGGCTGATCATGCTCATCGTCATCATCAATATGCTCAGTAGATTTAAAGCCCTTAGCAGGAGAATCAGCAGCCTTGGCAGGCTGTTTCCCCTTGGCGCGAGGGGCACTGCGAGGCTTACGTTCTTCCAGATAAGACAGAACCTCTCGGTAGTTGTGGCCGAGGGCGGTCTTATTGCGGAGGAGACGCTTCTTCAGGGCACCGCGCTTGGAGCCGGAGGCGTCGATGATACGGGCGATGATGGCGAGGACGAGCTTGCCTGTCAGCTCGCAGAGGCGCTGTTCGGCAACGATGCTGCTACGGAGGCGCTCGTTGGTGACTGCTTCGTCTTCAGAGTCGCTGGCTTCGTCTTCGGAGTCGAGCTCGTCTTCTGAGGCTGGGGCGTCGTCGTCTGCGGGCTCAAGGTTGAGTCCTGATTTCTTTGCACAGGTCCGCTCGGCTATGCCGTGGATCTTGGTGATGAGGGCTTGGGTGTCGGGTCCGATTTCATGGATTAAACCTTGCGTTTGGAACAGGACATCTTCGTCGTTTCCGTTGCCTTGGCCGATGTTGCGGAGCGTGCTGAAGAGCGTTTGCAGGTCTAGGTATGTTGTAGTTGCTATGAAGCGGAGGTCGTCCAGCCCGGGGCGCGTTTCCATGATGTTGACGAGTGTTGAGGCGAAGGTTTCACGGCTCTTTGTCAGTGCTTCGAAGTAGGATGTGCTGAAGGAAGCTTTTCCATCATTCAAAGCTGTGGACAGTGCCTGCACCTTCCACATGAAATAGAAAAGCAACGACCGGATACTGCTTGATACCAGCTCGTTCTCTGCCTTGGCGGTATCTTCATCGTCATCTTCGCTGCGCAGACCACGTTCGGCAAGATGAATGAGGGTGTTGAATGGGGCTTCAGTGTGATCCTTCTTGGATTTCGATCGTGAGTTAGGGACAGTTTCGAGAATGGAGGCACAGTCTGTGATACCGGCGAGGTTCGAAATTCGAGAGACAGTGTTGCTCAGGTTGGTGAGAGTGGGATCAGATATTGAGCCACCTTCCTGGACGTCCTTCTTCCGAGACAAGGCAGCCAGTGCCTCCACCATATCATCCCATAGCTCTTGGACCTTGCCCTCTAGCGCCTCTCGCATCTCCTCGGAGCTTTTGGCATGCAAGAAAGCCACACTAGCTTCGGCCAGAACATCTTGATCCGAATGAGTCAGGAATTGCTTGTTGATGTCATTGAGCAACGAGGTATAAGCCGTAGCGTCTTTTTGGAGATCCTGGATTGTGTTCAGGTCCACAAGATGTTCCAGTCGCAGAACGGCAGAAGCAGCTTCCGGTGTAGACCCGAACTTATTGAGAAGCCCAGGGATGATCTGAGCAAGATTGTGAGAAATTTCCTCTTGGAGCTCGGAAATCTTGGCTGCCAGAGCCTTGGTCTTGCGCCCGCGCTTGTCGATATCAGGCTTGGCGATGTCGAGAACACGGAGCTTGACCGCAGCACAGAGAACCTCCAGAAGGATAGATTCTTGTCCTTCTTGCATTTTGTACATGTTCTTTACAACTCCTGCAGTATCATCTTCAGATGGCATATCGGTGATTTGAGAGTGGTCATAAAGCAGATAACCAGCCAGCGATGGCCATTGAGAAAGCTCTTCAAAGTGGGGGTAGATAGCCTCAATTGCGAGAGCAAAACGTGACTCTACAGCCACTCCCATCAGTGTGTCACGAGACATTGGCTCTGATTGCTGCTCAGCTTGTTGTGCATCGTAGGCCTGGAACAGCTCGGTGAGGCATTTAAACCTGATCCATGAGTGCTTAGGCGATTCGTAGTCGTCTTCATCATCGTCAGCCAGCAATTCGGCGATCTCCTCTCCCACTTCCTCGGTGATTGACTCGTATGCATCTTGAACGTTGGCAACAAAGAAGCGTCCAGCTGTTTTCCGAACACGAGGGTCCAAATCAAATACCAGTCGCCCGACGACATCAATATCATTTGGCTCAAGTAAGCCCCCTTCACGAAGGTGGTTAAGCAACTCAATCGCAGCCATCCGCACCGAAACATCAGCATCTTGCACAGCAATCTCCACAATTCGTTGCCGGAAGCGCTCAGTGAATGAATGCAAACCGGCAAGGTTGTCTCGGTTCTCATAAAGGCTCAAGAGCTCAGTCAAGGCAACAAGTCTGGTCTGCGCAATGACGTCGGCAAGAGTCCACCCCAGGTATCGCAAATACTGGCCCTCAAAGAAGATCTCTCGGTATGTGCGAATCCATCCGCCTAGAGCTGTCAGACATTCGGCACGGATCTGGCCATCAATGTCCCGGTAGCGATGGACAAATACGGTATCGAAACCATCCTGCAGGAACTCGTCGAGTCGCTCCACCTTCTGTTCGCCCTCTGACACGGCGGTTTTAATTGCTTCCACGCGACCCTTGTTTACCGTCTTCTTTTTCTTCTCACTTTCGAGTTGTTTTCTGGAGGTAGAGACGCTCGTCGTCACCTCACGCGCAATATCACATAAAGCGTTCATGATTGCGAGGGAGATCAAGGTCGCCGTATGCCGGAATGGTCGGCATTTTGATGTTGACATGGAAGAGATCCAGATCTGAATGTTTTCGAGAAGGGTATCATCGGTGTACAGGATAGAGGAGGCATGGAAAGTCTGGATCAGTGCGACAGTGAACTCTTCGAGGAGGACTGAGAACGCTCTAAACTTCTTCGCTTTGGAGATGATAGGGTACTCGGTGATGCCTTCTGCTTGGTAAAGGTTCTGCAAGTCTCCGATTCGGCCTGGGGCATTGTCGATGTCTTCCACTTCATTTATGTCAATCTCGAGATCAGTACCTGTGCATCGTAAGATGAAATTGACGAGGTCACACATGGCCTGTCCATTGTTACGCTGATATTGAGACAACCACTGGGCGGCCACTGTATCGGCATTGCTGCCTTTCCCGAAGACCTCGGCTAGTTCTGACATTAGCCACAGTGTAAAATATACAATGTAAAGAAAGTTATCACTCACCGAACAATCCGCGTTCACCCGCCGCAAGACTAGGTCGTACTTTCGGTTTCCGGGGACGAGCAGCGGGCAATCGGCCATTGGTGGCTGGTCGGAAGGCGAGCTGTCTCCCTAATCCGTTACTTGCAACCTTGGGTTTCTTCGAAGCGTGCGATCCCTTGGTCTTGGGTTTTGATTTGGTTTTCTTAGCACCGGCTCGACGTGCAGCGCGTCGCTTTTCTTTCAATTCCTCCTCATCGGTCTCGTCATCGGCGGCATCATCACTGTCGGACTCGGACGCGTCCTCATCGCCGTCCTCACGCGCCTCCCCTCGCTTGCGCTTTCCACCGGCAGCGTGTTCTTCGGCAGAGTGTGCTGTCTGCGAGAATACTTCGGGCCGTCGCGTTTGTCGACCGGATTTGCGTCGGTCTTCTGCGGGGGTCGACGACGGGCCACCGGGGCTTGATAGAGTTGGGTTGTCGATATCCATGGTGTTGGATGGCTGTATTATATGGATATGCGATCAGATAAACAGGTCTGCTAACCAGATCAATGGCTTTCAACAGAGTTGGCAGATGTCGCTGCCGTTCAGGTCGGGAACGCGCTCGTGCAACGCGCGGGTCTGGTACGACCAAGCAAATAAAAAGTTCGGGGGGATATGAAGGAAGTGTGCAATTTGAGGCGTGGAATATTCGCGACACGCGCTCTGACCGTGTTGAGACAAGATCAATCAAACGGAAGCACTTGGGCAGAAAACGGTCCGGGTCTCAGCGTGGGGGGAGACGCGACACCGTGCCTTAAGGCCTGAGGTTGTATTATGTAATCATATATGATTTCCCTTTTTTTGTAGATCAGGTATTATAGTTAACAAGTACAAAGAACTACAGCCATGGAGGAGCATTAGAATTATGCATTTTAGAAGAATACGTTCTGTGAAAGCCTCGGTAATATTGTAATACCTTATAAACAAACAAAAGAGCCACGCTCTGGCTTTGAATATAATGAAGAAACATAAATACACCGCAACGCAAACTGGTATTCCACGATCGTACGTCGATGTGTTGTGGAATTGGATCTTCAAGCATGAATGTACTTCGAATATTGCTTCGAGTGCGTCGGTATAGTCACAGCTATCCGCTGAAAACGTACGAGAGCGCCAAGTACTATGCTATAATCTTGTGTCCTGGTGATATCACGCTCGGTCCACTAGTTCCCAAGTTGAGAAACAGTTTAGATCAAAATTCATGAGTAAACTCACCTCGGAGTTTTCATTGATCAGGGAGATGAACGTCTGATCATCAGACGTCTTTCGGCTTCTTTTCCAAGCTTGTGTACGACGTTTTGGAACAAGTTCGATCCCAGCAGAATTGTAATCCTAAGAGCACTCACCCATTGTACGCCAAACAGTCGCACGAGGCCATCTCCGGCCAGGTATTCTCTTTTTGACCTCTACGACCAGAATGATTGGCATAGTTTCTTTAAAGCCTGCATACCAGATTGCGTAGTCCGGCTACAAAACTATATAGGGGAACTATTGGAGGAAAATAGGCAAACCCACATGTTCCTATTCGACTAGGTGGATATCAACAATTGTCTGCAGAATTACGTCAAACTTCCCAACTCGTTCGAGGGATAGTCTTTCTATGGTATAGTCTTACTACTGATCTATGCAGTGTCCCATGATCCCCTATTGCCTGCCAGACTATAATTAACTAAGTCGTGCAGATCAAATGACATAGTGCATTGCCAAGAGGTAACCCTTCAGGTCTATCGCCAATACGGACATACCTCTTTGTCATAGAAACCTCAATTCTTCCTTTTTCTACTCCGTAATTATTTTGTCTCCTATTATGCTCCGGAGTCAAGAGAGCCAAGACTTGGGGGGAATATCCCCCGCTTGGGTGGATTCCTATGACTAAGGAATCGTCATTTTCCCATTTCATATACCAACCAACATCCGATAGCTTGGCTTTGCTTATAATATAAGACTTTCTTCTCACACTTAGCTTTCTTCGACTTTGTCAAACACATCATATCCACCATGCGACAACCAACAATGCCAATTCCCTCGCCCTTTCAGTCTTCCATTGCGAAGCCAGGGCAGGGCAAAGTCGTCCTCTCTCTCCTCCCACCAAACAATCCGACCCTTACAACCCTCACCTACAAATACCCATTGAAGCTGGTGCCACGCACCGGTGGCTTTGTCCCATCCCCAGATTCCTCCGCCCATTCAGACACCCGCCCCTCCAATCCCGTCCACCTCTACCTTCTCACCTACGGCGGCGGGCTCCTGCCAGGTGATCACATCGAAGTATCCATCACGCTTGAACCCAGGACACGAATGGTGGTAACGACACCACAAGGCAGCACCAAGATCTTCAAAACAACCCCAAACAACACTGGCACAGCTCCAAACGTAATCAAAGGTCACCGCGATCAAATGCCCGCAAACGTCCACATCTCCGACATGAGCCAGCAAACCCTTGACGTCAACATCGGCCGCCAAGCAGCCCTCTGCTACCTCCCAGACCCCTCCGTTCCCTTCAAACACAGTCGCTACGCCCAACTCCAAACCTTCACCGTAGATGCCACCGCAAAAGAAAACGACCGTAGCAGCGTCTGCGTCCTGGACTGGGTAACGCAAGGCCGCACCTCGCGCGGTGAGGACTGGAACTTCCACTTCTGGCGCGGCCGCAACGAAGTCTGGGCCGAAGACGACAAAGGAAACCGTCGACTCCTCCTCCGCGACTCGGTAATCCTCGACGATGAATCCGGTGACCTGGACGCAACTTCCGTATCCAATGAAGTCGAAATCGAAGGTGTCAAAGACAAAGTCAAAAACACAACCCACGACAAAAACACCGCCCTCGCGAAACCAGCCGATATGCCGCCGCAGGCGCCGGCCGGCCTGACTCCGCTGAATATCATCGCGGAGCGCACGCGCCCGCACGGCGTCGTTGGCACGCTTATCCTCTCCGGACCGGTGTTCGAGGCGCTCGGTTCGTTCATGCTGAATCAGTTCCAGTCGCAGCCTCGTATTGGCGGTCGCAATTGGTCGGATCATGCGCCGTCGTCGGTGCCTGAGCCCTCGATTAGCAATAAGGGTGATGTTACGTGGACCGCAGCGCGTGTGCGCGCTGGCTTCGTACTTGTCAAGTTCGGCGCTAAGGATTTTGAGACTGCGAAGCATTGGCTTGGTGGATTGATTCGGGAAGAGGGTAGTGTGATCCGCGAGTTCGGTGAAGAGGCGCTGTGCTGTCTATGAGATATGATGTCTACGAGTAGCTATGTTTGATGTGTTTTGCCGGTGTTGGGGAGCTCTCGGCTGGTCGAGGGCCTATTTTATAATCTCGGATTGATTCGATATTTTGGGACTGTATCCTTTGGTTTATGCATTTGGGTTTGATCTGATTTTACTGGAAGGATTGTGGCGTCAATTCTGGATATCGGGTATCAAAGGCGTTGGGATACAAGTCCCAGATTCAGGAATGACATTACCGCTCCTGCGTTGGACGCGACAGAGACCAAAAGTATGATTGTAGTGGATTTGGACTGAATCATGTTAATCCACACTATTGTCTCTTTTTTTTTTAAAAAAAAAAAAGGAGTATCAGTATCTCGAAAGCTGCATAAACATTTTGATGGATACATAGCACCATTGAGATATGAAGCAAGTCTATCAAACAAGATAAAGCAATAAAGTCAAAGAAAAAAGCTAGGTATCGTAAATCAAACAAGAGAGTCCCAACGCCAGGCCATGATCTCATATGTCAAAGCAAAGAGCCAAATATGTAAAAAGATTAACCCAGCAAAGCCATCACAGCCATCACAGCCACCAATCAAAGAATCCCGTATTCCAATGCCCTTTAGCAGCAGCAGCTAAATCATCAACGTTCAGAATATCCACACCCTCTTGCGCAAGCACGCGCCAGACATGATTCCGCAGACCGCGAGGCCAGCCCGGCAGCGCCCAGTAGCGCACTTTCAAGCCATGCTGGTGTGCAATGCGCACCTGGTTGCGAATGCGACCCATCTGGCTCTTCGTGAAGTGGAAGGGCCAGGGGAGGCCGATTGCCTTTTTGAAAGACACTGAGGCATAGAAGCTGTTTGAGGTATTAAAGGTGGATGCAGTGATGACATCCGGCATGCCAGATTGGCCTTGGCGTAGATCTGTGCGCGGGACATTGTTTGGTTGGTCCGTGTCGACGAGTTTGTCGAGCGGGGCGTCGAAGAAGATATCGCGGTAGGTGGCGTTTGCGGCGACGAGGTTGAAGGGTGTATTTCCCGTTCCGACGACGGTGACAGGACCCTGGATGACCTTGTCGCCGTTGAAGTGGGTTAGGTAGCCGCGGTCACGGAGCGGAGCGAGGTGCTTCATCACGGTGTGCCAAGTTTCCGGCCCTGGCGTTTTGAAGTCGATTAGAAGGATTAGGCTCTGGGCTGGGTCTGTGTCGAAGACCCCATGCACAGGGCTGTCAACTACCGGGTGGAATTTGGTGATTGGGTTTTGACGCTCAAGGATGGTTACGAGCGGATCAATGTACATGGATTGCAAGGTTAAGCGCTCTGTCAGGGACGGTTTGGTGTGCCCGACATAGAGTTCGTCGTCGAAGTGCCAGACGTCGGCTTCGACGCCTATACATCCTGCTTGTAATGCGGCGTACAGTGGCACCCGGCGCCAGTAGTCGTTGTGAGAGTGGCAGCCAACGGGAATGATATCGCGCGAGATATCAGTGGGATAGCCCGTGCTATTTGCAGTGCTTGCGCTGTCGGCGCTAGCTAGCCAATTATGAACTGCGCGGTCGTATTCATCTGGGAAAAATGAAAGTACGATACCACAGGCGATAGTGATGAATTGGACAACGCCTCTGTTATTGGTGATAAGAGTCAGTGGGTCCTCGTTAGATAGACACATTCTACACAGTTGAAACTCACAGCATGATCAATATTCCAATAATCACAAGTCGTAGACAACGCAAGCATCGCGAACGATAAGATCGCTTGCGCTTAAACGGGTCATCTGACAGGGGAAACGTTGAAGGCCAAGCCAAGCCCTTCCTGACTTGACGCCATGAGCGGGCCAGATGCTCCACTCGCTCAACGTAAATGGAGTCAACAGAGCGTACAGAGTGTACATTGAGCTTTGGATCTCCAGGATCTAGCGGGCCTCTTTCTGGGTCGGAGTGAATACTGGATATTGAGCTCCGAGAAAGAGAATCCATCTTGGCCTAGAAAAACAAAGCAAAGCTATCTGAGGTTATACACTCTCCGAAGCTTAACGAGGCAGCCATGATATTTAAGGCGGTGATTGGATCCGTGGTACTCTAGCAGGACTTTCCAGTTGGTTACATCTAAACTATACACGTGCTAGAGGATGTTGACAGGGGTAAGAAACAATATTTCCGGGATCGCTATATACAAGTACAAATTCAGGCCCAAAACACCAATGGGTTCTCATGAACACACTTTTTTTTTAAAAATTTACTCTTGAAGAGACTTGACATAGGTAACAGCCCGTGCCTTGACTTCCTCAACCATCTTCTCATCTCCATTGTCAGCAGCCAGACCCTCTTCAAAGGAAAGCCACTTCTTAAACAGGAAGCGGGCCTGTTTAGGCTTCAGCTTTTTGCTAGCGTCCACGCTAACGGGGCCCTTCTTGCTGCTCTGGAGGCCAAGGACACGCTCGAAAAGACGGCGCACTTGCTCGGCATCACCAACCTTGATCTCCAGGTCCAATAGAACATTCCACAAGTCAATGCGCTTGGGGAATGAGGACAGGAGACCCTCGAAGACGGTACGACCGCGCTCGACATCTCCATTGGCGGAGCGGAACTCGAGCTGGGCGAACTTGGAGGTGGTCTCGACGTGGGTGTGGGTCGGGAGGGACTGGAGGGCGCGCGGGAGCAGGGCTCGAGCGCGGTCGGGGGAGGCCATGGTGTCGAAGAGGAAGCTGGCGTAGTTGTAGAAGAATTTGGGAGACTGGGAGCAAACCTTCTTCTTGAGAGCGGCGTAGAAGAGATCACTTGCTTTCTGTGAGATTGTTAGCATCCGGAGAGAGTAAAATTCGAAAATAGGATTACACATACCTGGTTCTTGCCGGATTGGATGTAGATACTAATCATCCGCTCGTACATCTCCTGGGGGTCGTTGTACTGGCAGGCACGCGTGAAGACCTCCTCGAGACTGTCGTCGTCACCGTAGGTGTTCTCCAAGTTCAGCAGCGCAACCCAGATGTTCAACTTCTCGGCATCCTGGCCCATGGTGATAGTGCGCAGAGCACGCTCAGCAGTGGCGCGAGCCTTCTCGACCTCACCCAGCTCCAGCTGGAAGGCCATGTACTGCAGCCACAGCAGTGAGGAGTCGGGCTCACCGAGAAGGAGTCGCTCGAAGTCGGCAACGGACTGAGGGCCATTGGCGTCCAAGTCGCCGGTCCGGTCGACCTGGATCTCGGCCTTGCGGTTCTTCTTCTTCTTCTGTTTGGAGCCCTCATCTTCGCTGTCGGAGCCCGCGGCAGCTTCGGTCTGGGCAGTACCGCTCCAGTCGAAGCCGCTCGCACCAAGACCTCCGGCCTTGCTGGGCTTCTGCACAGGGACATCTTCATCGTCATCCTCGGATTCCTCCTCCTCCTCTTCTTCTTCTTCCTCCTCCTCGTCGCTGTCCTCCTCCACATCAACACCTCCCATGGACTCATCGTCATCCTCATCCTCGCTGTCCTCGCCGAGTTGGACACCGGCAAGACCATCAATGCTCATGCTGTCCTCATCCTCGCTGTCGTCTTCCTCTTCATCCTGGAAGTGGGAAGCCTTGAGTGAGAATGAGATCTTCTTCGACTCAAGATCAATCTTGATGATCTTGGCCTTAACAGCATCACCTTCGTCGTACAGTTTGCGCGCATCCTCGACGCGCTTCTCGGCCATCTCGCTTCGGTGGCAAAGACCGCTGATGTTTGAAGAGCCGTCAATGACGATGAAAGCACCGAACTCCTCGACCTTGCGAACCTTGCCGGTGACAATCTGACCAACCTTAAGATCCTTAAGGGTGATAGGAGCCTTGAAGTTGGGGTCCAGAACAGACTCCTTCAAGCTCAGCTGCAGCTTGCCTTGCTCGGCGTCAACGAATGTGACCTTGCCCTTGACAAGCTGATCTGGCTGGAAGGCGTCCTTCCATTCCTTGAGATACGAATCGGAAAGATCAGACACGCGAACGTAAGCAGTGATATCATGGCTGACTGCCACGAAGAGACCGGAATCAGTGACTCGTCGGACGAAGCCGCGGATGATATCGTTGGGCTTGACATCCTTGAGCGAAGAGATCTCACGATCCTGCACGGGGAGAGATGAGCTCATGACCTTAGAGGGGCGCAGGGACAAAGCAATCTTCTTGTTGGACTTGTCAACGGCAATAACGCATGCTCGGAGAACCTCGTTCTTGTGGTGTACGGTAGGGTTGGCCTTGGAGTAGTCATCTGCGAGGTCGATCAGGTTGACTGCGCCGACAAGTGACTCACCAAGCTGCATAACGAGTTGGCGCTCGGTGACCTTGGTAACGCGGCCGGGCAAGATCATGCCAACGGAGATATCTCCGAATGTGAGCTTGTCGTATCCTTGCTTGGCAGAGAGATTGAGGTGGCCCTTCTCAGCGTTGACAGCAGTGACCTGGACCTTCAAAGCAGAGCCAATGGGGAAGTTCTTCTCGATATCAGTCAACAAGGACAGATCGTCAGACGCGTCCATGAAACGCAGTCTGCCGCGCACATTGGGAGACAGGTTGACCCAGAGGCAGTCATCAGCGACATTGTTGACGAAGCCTACCCAAGAGGAACCGACTTGGACCTGCTCCATGTTAAGAGGAGCAGGGTTGGCGGCCCTGAGGAAGCTTGGCTTGATAGAGAGCTCGAAGACGGGGTACTTTCCAGTGCGGTGGCTGATGGGGAGGAACTTGTGGTTACGGGCATCGTGAACACCAAGGATTCTAGCGGAGAGAGTCTGCTTGGTCTTGAAGAATCGCAAGGGCTGCTTGCGATCCTTGATGTCTTTCCAGTCATCGAAGACCTCGGACACATCAATGCGGCCCTGAATGTTATCCGCGAGCTGGACGTTGACCTGGGTGGCCTTGATAGAGACGACCTTGCACTCAACAATTCTACCGAAGGTAAAGTCGGACATGCTCTTGATGTTGTCATCGACGGGGTTGACAATGGTCTCGTCAGTCTGGTTGACCGCCTTCTTGGGAGCGGCCTGGCTAGCCTGGACGGGCTTCATACTGAGAATGAAGCGCTTGAATTCCTGATCCACAGACTGCACATTGACAACAATCGTTTGCGCCTTTGACAACCCGTAGTGAGGCTGATCGAGGTTGGCATCTTCGATAAGACGTTTGGGGAGCAAGCCAGTGAGGCCGCCGAGGAACTCAACGAAGACACCATCGGGTGTGATGTTGCGGATGAATCCCGTGACAAGGGAGCCCTCTTGGACATCCTCGAACTGGGCGGGGATGTTCTTCTGCTTGGCTGCCTTCTTCAAGCTGGCCCTGCTGGAAACCTTGATGAGACGGTGAGCGCGCTCGATGTTGAGGACCAAAAGATCGTTCAGCTTCTGACCAACGCGGAGCTTGGACAGCATCGAGCTTTGCTTGGATGGGGGGCCGTCGATAAGCTGCTGAGCGTCGAGACGAGCGACAAGGCCCGACTCGTCAAGCTTGAGAAGCACATCATCATTGGACTTCTCGAAGACGATTCCAGAAACAAGGTGGCCGGGGTGAAGGTTTTCAAAGGCCTCACGATACTTCTCGGTAAATGTTGAGGGGTCCTTGCAGGAAACAGCAAGTCTTCCAAGGGATGCATCCACGCTCAAAGCATGAACATTGACGACCTGGCCGAGTCTGAAGTGCTGGGCCGGATCCTGGATGTAGGCTTCACTCATCTCGGAGACAGGAAGGAAACCACGGACTTCACCGTAGAACTGCACAACAGCACCATGGCTCTGAAGGCTGACAATGGTACCAGGAGACTGAGCCGAGGGAGTGATATCTTTGTAGTCCTTCCAGATAGCAGACTCGCTGTTGAGCAAACTCTTCTTCAAGGTCAAACGGATTTGGCGTTTTTCGAGGTTCACGGAGAGGATTCTCAGCGAAAGCTTTTGACCCTCACGGAACTTCTTCTCTGGGAACTGGAGCATGGTATCCGCAAAGTGCATGGAGGGAACAAGACCGGTGATTCCGTCGGCTAGGTTGACAATCAATCCAGTCATACCTTCGGGGCCGATCATAAGCTTCTCAACCTTTCCTTTCACAATAGCACCCACATTCACATCCTCGACGCGAAGGAAGGGCTGCTCGATAACGCTCTTCTCAAATGAGAGAATGTAGAGGTTATCAATCGAGCTGTAACCAATGACTCTTGCCTCGTGGACGGCGTCCAGCTGGAAAGCTCCAGAAGTTTCATCAATTGTTTCGACCTTACCATCAGAGAGTCTCGACATGTGAACGAAGCCCATATGTTTTGTCTCTCCAATCCGAGCATAGACACCCAGACCTTGATCGACCTTGACGACCTTGGCCTCGGGGATGATGGCGGAGATAGCAGGCGCATCATCAGAAGAACCGGGGCCGCGAGCATCAGAAGAGAGCTTGAGCACATGATCGAGCATAGAAAAGCTGACCTTGGGCGGATCAGCAGCCGGGAAAGTTGAAATAATACGGCCCTTGATCTTTGCACCAATCTTGAATTTCTTCTCCAGGTCAATCTTACCGTTGATGCTAGACTGGACCAGATCAACGGTTGCGTCGAGCATTCCCATAATTTTTCCGATCATTCCGTTAGATTCGACTTCTGTGAGAAGAATTTCTGCGGCGGTACCGGGGAGGAAAGTGTTGATAGTAGGGGCAGAGCTGAGGTAGTTGGACTTCTTGATCGAGGCGGATGTTTGGAAGTTGGAGGACAGCTTGATAACATTGCCACTGGGGTTCTGACCAGTAACCATGCAAAGGAAAACAGAGCCTTCCTTGATGCTAGAATAATCCACCTTAGGGTCAGTCTCCTTGGAGGACATGAAGCCCTTGAGTTCTGAGCCTTCGATGCCAAGGTCCATGACCACACCGTTATCTTCCACACTGACAACGGACGCTTGGACAGCCGAGTTCACAACAAGATCGGACTTCGAGAAGCCAGTGTTTGTTTGTCTAGGGTCGACCGACAGTTCAATTCGCTTCTTGCTCTTTGCCTTGGGATCATCGGGGTTGCTGCCGGTAGACACAACGTATGCCCGCAGATATTGACCCAAATAGAAATGATCCTTCAGGTCAAAAGACTCGTCATCGGAGCTATCCTCGGCATCGTCATCTTCACCTTCATCGTTCAACATCTTCTCAAGTCTGTCTTCGAGGCCCTTCGAAACGGATGTGAGGGGGACGTAGCCGGTAAGGTTGTTGGGCAGTGAAAGGGCGATGTCGTGGGCATTGATACTCGAGACTTGACCCAGAATCATGGCTCCGGGTACAATGCGCTGCAATCATTAGAGTGATGCGGTATGAAAAAGTTTCCTAGCACGTACCTTGAAGCTTAGACCCTCGATGCGAACATTTTGCTTGTCATCAGTTTGCTTGTCCGCGGACTTCTTGCCCTTTGACTTCTTCTTGCGCGATTTCTTGGTAGTTGTAGTGGTTTCTTCGTCCTCCATTTCAACATCGTTGTCGCTTTCGTCGGCAAATTCTTTGGAAGGCGTCTGCTTGGAGGGTTTCTGGTTTCCAGATGCTTTCTGCTCGAACAAGACATCTTTGTTGGCCTGGATTTGAATTTGCTTGCGCTCCAATGGTGTCAGAACACTTGCGCCACCACGAGGGAACGAGGGTTCGTCGTCGCGCAGAACGGAAAGTTCTGAAGCCTTCCCAGCGGTGGATGTGGCATCGTTTGACTTATTATGGTCTTTCTTGACCTCTTCCGCTCCAACTTTAGCACGTTTTTGGGGCTGGCGGGAAGTGTTTTCTTCGGGGGCATTCCCCTTGCGCTTGATTGGCGCCATTCTTAAACTGGCAAAACCGAATCGTGCAGTTGCAGATTGCGGTCTAATTCCTCAAGAGAAAAGATAAAAAAAATTCCGCGGATGCGGCAGAACCTTATGGGCGGTGTATAGACATGGGGTCATGAGTCAGCAAGTTGGTGCCTGAACCTCAAGGACAAATCCATGCCCTAAAATCCTGGTGAGATCTGTACGTTATTGGTAAAGATGGTAACATCGACTTTTCTTATTGAATCAATATCTAAACAGGAATGAAGTGGGCAAGCTATTTTATCATAACCTACCAAGGATATAGTTACGAGAACAGGGCTCCTCGCATTAGGCTGATACAGTGTTTCTTTTCCATCATACTTCTTTTGATGTTTCTTTGCTAGATAAATTGTAGCGACAATGGCAGTATAAAAAAATTCAGTGAACATGGAGAAGCCACTGCTAAAATTGTACTCTGTACGGAGTATGGTCCTACAGATCATCCTGATTGAACTTTGTGTAGTAATGCTGGCTAGCTGGACTGAACCACAGGGGGTAACTATACGGAGTAGTTACTCAGCCTATGTTTGAAATTGGCCCACGATGTCACAAATCACATTTGGACATGTCCTCTGTACCCCAGTCATATCTAAGGTTTTGTATGGAGTATAAAATTAGTAATCCATCCACTCAGAAGTGATACTTTCCCTTTCTCTTGGGTGTCATAGTGGAAGGCCCTTGGTCAGAGTAAGATGACTTAGGACGTGTCGACCCTTTTTTATATAAGTTGGTATTTCCCTTTATGTGCAAAATTAGACCTTAGGTGTGAAACCTGAAAAAGTAACAAAACAAGAGCTGGGGCTGAGGAGCTGAAGATCGTGCATATCGATCGCTTCTTTTCTACAAAATATTGCTTGTCACATGGCGCTAGTGTGAAACTATTGCAGATCTCTGCATTTATGAATCAAGGATTATACATGGAAATGTTATGCCTAACAGTTCTGAATACGGATATATTGGCCTACAATGTAGTATATAACATAATTATTGTCAACTACATCCATTAATGATAACAGCAATATAATTTGGGGAAGATTGTATTCCTACTAGTCCCACATGGAGAAAACCAATAAATCTGTTGTATAGAGCGGACTACTATATCTAGTCAATTCATCGACGATCATATCCCGAGATGGCCCCTTACAAGGCAATCTGCAAGAAATATGAACATGTGTTCGCACCAATATCAATGTGATCATGTTGCACATCGTATATCGTGCAGCCCCTTGCTTTGGCCACCCCACTCCTTACTACTTTTAAAAGCAATAATGTCTATCTACAGATGTAACCCAAATCCAGGAAATTAAGCCTGTTGTAATATTTTCCTTGCCCATAAACTCGAATATTTCTCTCGCTTTTGCCAGATTCCTCTTTATTCATTGATAATTCTCCGACACAAAAAGATAATTCAATATCAAAGTATCGTATTTGTCTTCTGAAAACACAAAATGCAGTTCGGTGGCCAAAAACCTTTGGGATATCGATGGCGCTCCTCGAATTTCTTCATCCTCTCCTGCGTTACAATAGCTCTGTTCTCGGGTTTGTTCAGCCTGTGCCATATATTAGCTTGCGCTTGCACATGTTAACATCTGCTAGAAAACTTCTTATACAGTTTCATCATTCCCATTCTACAGCTGATGCTCGAGGATCGCCTTCAGCTCGACCCAACAAAAACACAAACAACTACATCGGCTTTACTTTCGACCCACGCCTTGGTGTGTTTCTTATCAGGGCCATTCATCGGTAATTTGGCCGACAAGATTCCCTCGCGAAAGGGACCATTACTGGTCTCATTGGGAGGAGAGATTGTGGGAACAATTATTATTGCAGCTGCCCCATCATGTATGAAATCGTGTTTCTTGATATTGCTATGTTGAACATAACTAACCTAAATACGCCCCAAACAGTACCGGTGCTGTTTTTCGGGCGTGTTATTCAGGGCATCTTCGGCAATGCAGTATGGATTATTGGGTATGCAACGATTGCCGACACCGTGGGATCTGAAAACAGGTCTCGAGCGATATCCACAATATCTGCGTTCTTCATCTCCGGGTTGCTGGTTGGCCCGATGGTTTCGGGGACACTGATTGAGCTGATTGGATACTGGCCAACATGGCTGACCGCAATCGCCGTTTTGGTCATTGATATGTTCATGCGGCTGATCATGATCGAAAGTCCTATGAAAGGAGTCGAAGATGCAGAGAACCTAGCGCCTGAGGCCATTTTGTCAGATGAGACTTCCGCTCTTATTGCTCCATCTGCAAATGACGACCGCGAGCAAGGATACCATACAAAACAGGACGAATCACTACCATCATGTTCCTCTGAATCCTCAGCTCAAAACTTCTACAGGGTCATTCTCAGTAACCCCCGGGCTCTCACTGCGATGGCCTGCCATGCTGCCAATGGTCTTACATTAGTTGCCATTGACACTACTTTGCCACTGCATGTTACACGAGCCTTTGGCTGGGACACTTCCCGGGTAAGCTTGATGTTTTTGTTACTACAATTACCAACTCTCTTCCTTTCTCCACTCACCGGGTGGATGAAAGATCGACTTGGCATGAAGATACCGGCTGGGGTCGGGCTACTAGCTACAGCGTTGTTACTTTGGCTTCTGGGTACGCCAGGTCCAGATGGCTTGTCACTTATTGGCTCCGGTGAAAGAGGTCAAACTGTCTATATGGCCTCGATGCTTGGGCTAGGGTTTGCCAGGACACTGTTCACAGGCTGCGGAATTATGGAGATGACTGGTAAGTTGGAATTGGAGATTATGTCCCTTTATTCACTTCGAAAAGCCATCATTTTGAATGTCCACGATTTACCTGACCTGTCTCTTAGGTGTGACAATAGAGTTGCAGGAAACGCAACCTGCTATATTCGGTCCTAATGGCGGACTCTCTCGGGCTTATTCCCTAACCAATATGAGTTGGACATTCAGCATGTTCATCGGGCCAGTCCTTGCTGGTTCTCTCACACAAACAGTGGGATATTACTATATGAACGTGTCCCTCGGTAAGTCCGCTCCTATTCACAAGCATCGCGGCATTGTCAGGCTTTCTAACGACTGAGTTGCACTTCCACAGCACTCGTCTGTTCTGGGTGTGGTGTGTTAGCTTTTTTATACTTTCAAAAGAAGTAGGCCCGGTTCAAACTCGAGTTGAAAGAATAAAAAGATAGTGAATAATATAGTTATGTACTTAATTATCGCCGAGCATTTAGAGACATCCAAGTTGAGAGCTAGATAGGTACTCCCAATCCGATGTCGTTATGAAAAGGTATCAGGCCTAGCTGATGCAGACCTTTTCAATTGAGATATTCCTAGAAGAGATAGCTGTTGCAGTTGGTATTTCGTAGGAAATATCGAGGGGAATGCACTGCGCCATTGTTGAATATGTATCTGAAATTGGCCAGTGTTGACATCAGGATCTTCTAGATGCCTGGTGATTTCACGGCTTTTGAGACGAAAAGTAGAGAAACAATTAGCCAAGGGATTAATCCAAGCTCACCTTTGTTAAAAAAAGGATTTGGATTGAAGGAGGTATGAAATGTGGAGGTGAAATGCCTTGGATGCCTTGACACGATCGCGTCACGTCGCGACACGAAAAAAAGATCCAACTTCCCCGATTCATCTCCCCCTTTAGCTTTCCAGCCATCGATGCCACCAATGCATTCATAGCCTCTTTTTTTTTCCTTTCTGCTTTTTTTTTTTGTTAAACACACAATGGACACCTTCAATCTACCGGAGGCACCCCGGTCAGAGCCTGTTCTTCCTCCTCCAGAGCCACCATCATCCCCGCCGTCTATTGCTTCCGATGGTCGCAGACCTAGAAAGCCACCAACTGTAACGCCCCGGTCATTCCGTCGATTCTTTACCCCACGTTCTTTATTGCCAACTGGAGATACTTCTATCACACCATCAACTAGTCGCCAGGCCTTACGGGCACTAACATCACCCGCGGTGAATCGTCTGGGGCCGGCCTTTTCGAGAACCTCCAAGGCTGGCAGCACCAGAAGTCCTCACGATGGCTTGCCGGAAGACTTTATTCGCACCCCGAGCAGGAAAAGAAAGAACTCATTCTCCTCAGTTGTCTCTCCGCAGTCCTCGCCTCTGAAGAGAGTTCGTGTCCGGTCTCCGACGCAGGATGTAGAACAAGATATCAAAATTCCCAACATCGACATCCATCTTGATACATTAGCACCACTGAGTTCACCCAAGCGAAACCCCCCGGTGGCCCCTGTACGCCGCTCCAAGTCATTGCAATCATCTGGTGCTTTGTTTATGCGAACTGTAACGGGGACTCGGGCAAATAAAGTAACCCTGCGGTCTAACTCTGGCGTTGGTTGGTATTCACCCCCGTGGCTTTCTTGTACACCTCTAACCTCCTCTCTAGGCTGGCAAGATCTTACTTCTAACTTCTACTCGCAACCGAGTGACCATCACATCTGTCATAGCTACGCATCGGAGGGTCCATTGGCCCTCCCATTCTGTAATGCTTCATGCAACAGTAAGTCATGATTCACTTGGCTGCTCCCTATACATGCTGAAAAATGGGCAGCAAATTCTCTTGTTGCAGTGGGCGACGAAGAGGGTGGAATTCGACTCTTGGATTCATCGATTGACGAAGATGCTGGGTTCACTAACGCATATCTTGGGTTCCGCCCGCACATGAACTCGATCATGGACCTCGAGTTCTCATCGGACGACATGCTACTGGCTACCGCATCTGGCGACCAAACTTCTCTTATTATTGACATGACAACACAACGACCCATCCACTGTTTATCAAATCACTCCTCCTCCGTTAAGCGTGTCCAATTCCAACCGGCGTCCAACAACAAGGTTCTTGCTACGTGCAGTCGGGATGGAAATGTCAATATATGGGATCTCCGTTGCAAAGGATTTGAACGGCCTGCGTTGCAAGTTCAATGCTCCCTGGAATCCGAAACTGAAAATGCCGCGACCACTGCACCTCCAAAGATGTTATACCCACACGTTCTGAATACTATTGAAGGTGCTCATGCATACACAACCTCTCATAAACCGACTGTGGACAAAAATGATGCGCCACCATTTGGCCGGACCGACATCACAGTTACTTCCCTCGCTTTTCTCTCGCCTGGCCGCGAAAATCTTTTTGTTACGGCTTCTGAGGCTAGCGCAAGTGTAAGACTTTGGGACTTGCGAACGGCACATAACAATCGTCGTGGTCGACCCGTCATCCCTCTATCCACTACACAAGAGCCAGAAAGCCATGTGAAGTATCGACGCTTTGGCCTAACTTCCATGGCGTTTGGAGGAGACGGCTCACGCTTGTACACCCTTTGCCGAGACAATACCGTTTATACGTACTCGACATCACACTTAATTCTCGGGCATGCGCCTGAACTTTCACTCAACAACAACCGCCCACGAAGGACTGGAGGCTCCGATAAGGACGGTCTTGGGCCTCTTTATGGTTTCCGCCACCCTCGTCTCCAAATTTCCTCATTCTACGTGAAGCTGGCTGTGCGCAAAGCAACTCAGGATCATCCGGAGATGCTGGCTACTGGGAGCAGCGATCACTGCCCCATTCTTTTCCCTACCGATGAACGATACCTCAATTCTCCCGTGAAAGCACCAGCCGAATCTCTGCCTAGCAGGACTTCCCTTTTCACTGCCCGCCCAGGACTTCGTCGCACCAACTCTGGCATCGGTTTGACCGGCCGTCTTGAAGACACTATCCCAATCCACCAATCAGGCACTCCTCTCATCGAAGGTCATCAGAAAGAGGTCACCGGCCTGTCCTGGACGCCATCTGGCGACCTCATTACTGTGAGCGACGACTACTCCGCTCGATGCTGGCGCGAGGGACCCGAGGCTCGCGAGCTTCGAAACGGTGGTGAAACCGAGGGTAAACGCTGGATGTGTGGCTGGGCTGATATGAAAGACTCAATTGACGACGAAGATGAATGATTCCCCGGCGACTTTTTTGCTTTTTACCGTTTTGCATTTTCCGAGGTGTCTGGATGTTTCTTTTTTTTTTGCCTGTGGGCATTTTACTGGCGTTTGGGAGGGCATATTAATTAGCGTAGCATAGCCTTCATTTCGGGCTTATTTCTTATTTGTATTATCTGAATGAAACAAACATTTCCCTCACTCATTGAGAGTCCAATTACTGTCATCTTCCTCGAGTATGAGCCAATAAACTATCATTTTCGAAGGCAATGTGAAGTAGAAAGGTCCGCGGGTGTATGTTGAGGTCGCCCCGGGCCACATAGAGCGATAAGATAAGGCCAACCTCGATGAAAAAAAGTTCCACCGACAACTCCAAACCTCCAATATTCCACTACAAAACCAGCCAAAATGCCTCACAAACACAAGAGACGCGGCGAAGCCGACAAAGAGTGAGTATTAGAAATCTACAAAATCGATTCGAAGCCCAAACTAATGATGTCCCTCGTGTCAGGCACTTCAATCTCCCACCGACAGAGATCGCAAAAGCACTTCCAGTCCGCGATACAGTCAAGCCCAAGCTAGGCAAGAACGGCAAAAAACTCGTCAACAAGAAAGATCAAAACCAGAGCGCCAACAAAGCACCCACCCACCGCCTCAAGAATGTCACCGAAGACGACACCCCGAAAGCGTTCCGCCGCCTAATGCTCTACCAGCAGACAGGTCGACGGGCCCCCTCAGGACTAGAGACTGGCGAGCGGAAGCGCAAGCGCAACGCCACCGAAGACGCAGCGGCGTCATCAAAGAAGACCGCGCAGGCAGCGGAAACGCAAAAAACCAAAGCCGCCGCCAAGGAGAAGGCCGAAATGCCCAAGATCATGCCTGGCGAGCGTCTGGCTGAGTTTGTGGCGCGCGTTGACCGCGAAATGCCATTGTCGCAGATGACCAAGACTGTTAAGACGGGAGACGCCAAGCTCAAGGAGCAACACAAGCGGACGAAGCATGAGAAGCATCTGCTGCGATTGCAGAAGGGGTGGCGTGCGGATGAAGCTAAAATCCGGGAGAAAGAGCAGGAAGAGCGGGAAGAGCGGGAGGACGAGATGGAGGTTGAACTGCGGCAGTGGAAGGAGTGGGAGATTGAGGCTGCTGGAGGAAAGAAGAAGGCTGCGAAGAAAAACAAGAAGAGGTCGAATGCTAATGGGGATGATGATAGCGGGGACGATGATCCTGATCCTTGGGCGAAGCTCAAGAAGCGTGATGAGGAGCGGAAGAAGAATCCATTTGAGGTTGCGGAGGCGCCGCCTCAGTTGGTTAAACCCCGAGAGATCTTCAAGGTGCGTGGTGGAGCTAAGGTTGATGTTGCCAATATCCCTGCTGCAGTTGGAAGTTTGAGACGCCGGGAGGAGTTGGCTGGGGAGCGGAGGAATATTGTTGAGGAATACCGGAAGTTGATGGCTGCCAAACGGCAGTGAGGGATATAGATCTAGTAGGATGGGCTGTTTAGGGCTGAGGATTTCATGTATCTACTTGGAAGAGAAATTGATTCATATGCAGTTGCAGCATAAATGAGAATTTACTACTGCTAATCATCTATGTCACATCATATTACTGCCTTTTTTTTGGGATTGGGGTAGTCAAAATGAGCTCAGGCTTAGTGGCCGTGGCCGTCATCCTGCGGCTGCTCGGGGTCCAGCTTGATGATTGTGTCAATGCGCATGATGGATATGCAAGCCTCGACAGCACTCTTGAGCTGCTTGACCTTGCTCATGCTAGGCTCCAGCACACCGGCCTTCAGACTGTCGTGAACCCGTCCCTTCGTCAGATCCAAACCGTAGTTGCGGTAAGTCTTCTTCTTAGCGATGGCCTTCTCCTCCTCGTTAGCATCGCCGTCCTGCACACGCTGTGACAGGGCGTGGCGGACACGGAGCTGAGCAACGAGCTCAGATGAATCCTTTGCTGCGTTGACTGCCAGAGTCTGGGGGATCACAAGCAGAGACTGTGCGAACTCGCCAATGGCCAGTTGCTCACGGGAGCCCTTTAATGCAAATGTTAGCGACCGACACGGAGAAGAAAGGAACGGCGAACAATACTACTTACCACTGTGACTGCGAATTCCTCGAGGTAGATGTGAAGTGCGGTTTCCACGGCTCCACCGCCGGGAACAATGCTTCCACTCTCCAAAGTGCGCTTGATGGCACAGAGAGAGTCGTGCACAGAGCGCTCCATCTCATCCAAGCTGTACTCATTGGCACCACGGAGGATAATGGAAGCCGCAGAGTGAATCTTGGTACCCTTGATCAGGATACACTCATCGTCCGAGATACGCTCTTGCGAAACGGACTCTGCGTGTCCAAGGTTCGATGCCTCGAACTTCTCATCTCCGTTGAGGTCAGAAAGGGTGCTGATCATAGTAGCACCGGTGGCCCTAGCAATGCGACGCAGGTCCTCCTTCTTGCAGCGACGGACTGCCATGGCTCCCTTCTCAATGAAGAGCTTGAGAACCATATCGTCAATGCCCTTAGTCGTGAGGACGACATTGGCACCAGACTTCAGGATCATATCAACACGCTCCATAACAATGCCAGACTCGCGCTGACGGATCTTCTCCAATTGATCGGGGTCCTCCACTGTAATCTGAACACCAAGCTTCATCCGCTCCTTCTGCAGGTTCATGTCGAGAATGGCGATCTTGGCATCGGCCACGTGGGTTGTCATAGCCTGAGAGGCAACAGTGCAGTTAAGCGCATAACCGTCCACAAGTACGGACTCGTTGCCACTCTTTCCGTGGGCCTTGAGCAGGTTCACGGCCTTGACTGGGTATTTGGTCTCGCCTCTCTGGTTCACAGACTTCACCTGCAGCATTGCGTCCACACACATGTTTGCAAAGAAATCGGAATCGGAACCGATGATCTTGCTGGACATGGAAGTCTTCGCAATGTTGACCAAACTTTCCTTTCCGATATTATCCACCTTAGTCGTAACATTTTCATTCATATACTTGACGGCTTCGCGCAGGGCAATTCGGTATCCGTTGATGATTGTGGTAGGGTGTATACGGTTCTTCATCAACTCGTTGCCTCTCCGGAGAAGCTCAGCGGCGATCAGAACAACTGAGGTAGTACCATCTCCGACCTATTGAAATTGATATTATCAGCATGCGTGTTTGATATGTGGTGTGTTGCAGAGTCCCATACCTCCTTGTCCTGTTGTTGGGCCAGATCAACGAGGATCTTGCCCGCAGGGTGCTCGATATCAAGAAGAGATAGAATAGTAGCGCCATCGTTCGTCACGGTCACATCCTGCCATATGTTAGAAGCTGCAGCCAAACTCTACGGGCTTTATCTTTCCATACCCCTATGTCGTCCACCATCATCTTGTCCAAACCGGACGGACCGAAGGAGGTTCTGACGACATTGGCAATCGCCTGTGTTGCCAGAACTGCAAGGAATCAGCTATCAACTCCTAACAACAACAAAATCTTCAATATTCAACTTACCATTCTGCTCACGGACATCAGAACCGGTGATTTTCTGCCCACCCAAGACTGTGCGAGACTGGTCAGTTTATTGCAACGAAAAACAATGATCGATCAGATAAAGCCCACAGAGTGTGTCCGCATTCCGCGGTGCCTCAAAAATGCCTGCCATATTTAAAACAGACGATGTAATATGAGCTATTGGAGTGCGATGGCAGAGCTGTCTGGCTTCGGGGGGGTTGCTGTGGGCACTAAAAGTTCTGCCGAGGCGGTGTGCTAGTAATTTTCGATATCGCATCCCACTTTACGGAGGGGAGTCATACCGCGATTTCGCTTGCTTGCAATCCTACTTTCGATTCGGGTACCTTCATTGTCTAGTCAGACAATCGCTTCTTCAACATGGCTAGCCAGAACCCCAGCGACACCCCCGCCTTCGAGGGCGCTGCCCCCCAGACCTTGCCTGACCGCACTCAAAACCCCCCCGCTGAGGAGAAGGAGTCAAAGAATGCCGCCAAGAAGGCCGCGAAGCTCGCGAAAATGAAGGCCGACAAGGCTGATAAGAAGGCCTCAAACAAGGGAGAGAAGGGTATCGGCAAACCAGAGGCCAAGAAGGCTTCCAAGAAGAAGGTTGATGGTGCCGCTTTGATCGGTATTGATGTTTTGAAGGAGGAGGACTTCTCCGGCTGGTACCAACAGGTTCTCACCAAGGGTGACTTGCTGGACTACTATGATGTCTCCGGTTGCTTTATTCTCAAGCCTGCATTGTTCTTCATCTGGGAGGAGATCCAAGAGTACTTCAACAAAGCCATTAAGGGAATGGGTGTCAAGAACTGCTCTTTCCCTCTGTTCGTGTCTGAGGATGTCCTGCAGCGCGAGAAGGACCACATTGAGGGCTTTGCCGCTGAAGTCGCCTGGGTCACGCATGCGTATGCCGTCCCTTAGCTCTATAATACATTTTAATACTTCAATTGAACTACACTGACATATATTCCAGCGGCTCAACCCCTCTCGAGAAGAAGATTGCCATTCGCCCTACTTCGGAGACTGTGATGTACCCCTACTACGCCAAGTGGATTCGCAGTCACCGTGACCTCCCTCTTCGTCTCAACCAGTGGAACTCAGTCGGTGCGCTTCCTCTTCTTTCTCCATATCCTCGAAATGTCACTAACATCAACAGTGAGATGGGAATTCAAGCACCCTCAGCCACTACTTCGGTCACGAGAGTTCCTTTGGCAAGAGTATGCTTCTGACACTCTCTTCTGTTTAAAATTACGTGCTAACAATATGCAGAGGTCACACCGCTCACCTGACTGAAGGTGCTGCCCGCGAGGAAGTTCTTAGCATCCTTGACTACTATGCCAAGATTTACCAGGAGCTTCTTGCCGTGCCTGTCGTTAAGGGCCAGAAGACCGAGAAGGAGAAGTTTGCTGGCGGTAACTACACCACCACTGTCGAAGGCTACATCCCCGCCACTGGCCGTGGTATCCAGGGTGGTACATCCCACGGACTGGGCCAGAACTTCAGTAAGATGTTCGGCATCACCGTTGAGGATCCCACCTCCACGGCTGACGAGAAGAAGCCCCCTCTGCACGTCTGGCAGAACTCCTGGGGTCTGTCGACCCGTTCACTGGGTGTCATGGTTATGATCCACAGTGACAACAAGGGTCTGGTCCTGCCTCCTCGTGTGGCGGAGGTCCAGTGTATCATTGTTCCAGTCGGTCTCACCGCCAAGACTACCGAAGAGGAGCGTGAGAAACTCAATGCTGAGGTCGACGGTCTCGTCGCCGTCCTCGTTGCCGCCGGCGTCCGTGCCGACAGCGACAAGAGCAGCTACTCCCCCGGCTGGAAGTTCAACCAGTACGAGCTCCGTGGTGTCCCTCTGCGCATTGAGTTCGGTCCTGGCGAGTCTGCCGGTCACTTTGTTACCACCGCCCGCCGTGATATCCCCGGCAAGGATGGCAAGGGCAGCATCCCGATCCCCGAGCTGGCTACTGCCGTTCCTGCGCTCCTTGAGACCATCCAGGCTGACCTGTACAACCGCGCCGACGAGCAGTTCAAGGCTCACCGCATCAAGATCACCAACTGGGATGACTTTAATCCCGCTCTTAACAACAAGAACATTTGCGTTATTCCCCACTGCTTGACCGAGGAGTGCGAGGACCAGATCAAGGATATGAGTGCCCGCAAGGCCGAGGAAGACTCCGGTGAGGCTGAGGATGCTAAGGCTCCCAGCATGGGTGCCAAGTCTCTGTGCATTCCTTTCGAGCAGCCCGAGGGTATTGAGCAAGGTGTCACTCCCTGCTGCAACCCCAAGTGCCAGCGTCTTGCTGAGAAGTGGTGCATGTTTGGCCGTAAGTTTTCAATTTTCCAGTTTTCCTTTGTGATTCATGACAAAACACTAACTATCTCAATACAGGCTCTTACTAAGCTACTGCGTTGCATCCATATCAGGTCTTCCATCTGCTGCCGTCAAAACTACCATCAGTCCGATCCAACAGTGGTCGCTACCACCGTGTACTGAAGGCATTGTATTTTGCGACACTCTCCAGTGCATAGCGAATCAAAGTTGAAGCATCAAGCTACATGACATTAACTTCTGTGGGTTCCAAGGCGTCCCTTCGATATGTTGATTTGTCATTAGGGAGTTTAAGGATAATTGGCAGGTAGTGGCAATGATATTATGAAAATGAGACATGTCATTTTTGCTTTCTAAGATTCTGTTTCATTTTGTGTATGCACGTGGCTTTTTGTTATACCCGCTATCCCGTAAACTAGGATCGAGCTATTAATTAATAGCACCCGAATAGCACAAGGTATCAGTCCCGGAGAGCCCGAGATCCCGAGACCCCGAGTGCAAAACACTAAGCCTCTATACTCCAACCAGCAGCAGAAAGTTGGCAGGAAAAGAAAAATGTAATGGAAATACGATGGTATGAATTGGTTAGAGTACCTGTGGGACTAAGGAGTATGCTGAAATTAACAGACAATACTCATTTCATGAGGAAGAGACAATCATCTGTAGAGCGAATAATAGGATATATTGACACATAAAGCAATCGCTATGGAGCTTTAATATACACTGGTAATAATAATGACAACAATATTGACATGACAGGGACTCCGGCCAAATCATGCAACCACGGTATTAAGACAAGAAGAAAACAAGAGTTTGGCAGAATCTCAGATAAGACACGAGAAAAAGAAAAGGCGAGAGATGGACTAGGGTTAATAGAGACTGGATATATGGATACAAGGTGTATGAGTGTGACAGGGAGAAGGATCGACCGGGGCCATATCGAAGGTTAATTCGACAAGGCTAAAAGAAAATGGTGGAAATGACTGAACGGCTTTTTTTTGGAGAAAGCAAGGAGGAGAGAGAGAGAGAGAGAGAGAATGAGGGAGAGAGGGAGAAAGTCATGCATCGTTATCATGCGGCAAAATAGAAACATCCCGCCTAGGCTGGTGAACCATCCCAAAAAAACGTTGATCCCATCCTAGTAAGTCTCAACTGAGCGTGAACCACGAAGCTGCATGCGAGCACGAGACAACGGCGACAGACTATTCCCATAAGGATAGGAGGCACCACCGCGGCGGATCTGCCGAGGCCAGTACATGAGTTTCTGCGCCTCATCCTCCGAAGCAGCATGGATGACATAACGGATGTTATTCTCGTCTACACCTTCAATCTGCACGCGCGACGTGCTCAAGTTAGGGAGATGAATGATATCATCGTCGCTGTCTTCATTCGAGTCATCACTCGAAGGAGCCGAGTGAGCTTGCATGCAGTAGATTGTCCCGGGAACGATAGGCACATCAGGGGCTGAGCAGGCCATGGCGGTAGGGTTACCGATGGATTCTGAGCGTCCTTGTTGGCGAGATACAGAGGGGTTTACGCAACCGCCGGTTGAGATAGGTCGCTGTTCACTGCTTGCATTCAGCACGTCTAGGTACGTGATTGGCTCTCCTGATCCGGAGCGGGTGATGATGGGCTCTTTGTCGTGTTGAAATTCGGCCAGGAAGTCTGGGGTAGGGGCTGGGGCGTCTGTGTGTCGACGGCGAGGGGGGGAGCCAGAGACTTTTCGTAGGAGGCGGTCGTAGCCGACGCTGGTTGAGGTGCTACGGCGGATTTCGGGGGTTCTTTTGTGCTTGAACGAGTTCTTGTTCACGAGTCGGTTCTTCGCTGAGGCGCTTCGGTGGAGAGCGGTTGCTGGTCTGGAGCCGTTGGTGAACTCGTCTTGCTCTGGTGAGGGTGTGAATGGAGGCCCAGGGGCAGGCACACAGACTCGACGGAATGCCTCGTGGGAATTGACCTCGCGGACAATAGTGTCTTGTAGCGTCTCGTAGGTTGGGTGGGAGCTTTGGGTGGCCTTATAAGCCTTGCTGAAAAAGTCCATAATGTCCGAGGCTTTGAAGTGTGGGGGTGATTTTGGGGGACTGATCGGGCTAGGAACTGGCAGAGGACTGTTCATCACCTCTGCAATGCTGGGAGCCTGTCTCAATTCGCCTGTTGAGGGCGTTGGAGGCTGGATGGCACGGTGCCCAATTTTTGGGCGTCCTTTGGCAGCTAGTTGTGTATTGATCGAGAGTCCTCGCGCATTCTTTTTGGAGCCTGGCTCTGATAACTGTGGCGGAGGGAGCGAACTTTGCGTGCAGCAAGCTATTGTAGCAGGTGGTCGCGGCACCGAAGGAACCACGGCGGTGCCATCACTATCACCCATGGGGATAGGAATCGTAGGGCTATCAGGCAAAGGAGTGTTGCTCCACCTTTTGCCTTGTTTATAGGCAAGAGGAACACCCAACCGCTGGATAGGAGTGGGGGGTGCATCTTCTTGTGGGACAAAGTCTTCGTCCGCAGACAGACTCGGCGCAGATCTCTGGTGTCTAAGGTGGTTGCTAATATGGGACTGTGATCGTGGAGATAAAGTGCCCGGGCCATCATCTGGAGAGAGCTTTGTCCGTAGATTATCTGCTGATGCCCAGGCAGGCTTCCCTGGATCGCGCTTCCTGGCTTTGCGCCGTTGGCTTTCTGGGATCCGTACTCTACCAGGTGCAGCTGGCGATGACCGAGAACTCAAGTGAGACAACGAGCGACCAGGGCTGCTATATTTCGCAATGTTCCTATCGGCCACATCCTCTTGGTAAAGGGCCGAAAGTATGCCCGAGCTGGCAATTCCATTCCGGTATTGGATCCGTAAAAACCTGGTCATGTTTCGTTCCGCAACATCTTCATTGTATAGGCTGGCAGGAGAAAGGGGTTCCGGGGTAATTGTTTGATTGCGTTCCGTGGAGAACAGAGCATCCATCAAGTCGATATGTCGGCCATTTTGAGGTTTGGGAGGCCCACAATGAGTGCTAAGAGATCGCAATTGGGGTCGAGAAGATGTCGGCCGTGCCAGTCGATCATGTAGATCTTCAAATTGCTTCTCAATCTGATCAAAATGATGGGCCACATCTAGTGACTGCGAATCTCTGGACGGGAAACCCTCAAAGTGACTTCGTGTAGGCGAGTCAACCGCCGCATGAAAATAGGGTTGGTCTACTCCACAACCCTGAAGTCCGAGACTGGTTGCTGGACGAGACAGAGACTTGTCCGTCTGGAATAGTTTCTTTAATGCAACCATGTTGAAGGTTTGAAGTAGATATCAAGCGCAAAACCGGCGCGCAATTGGAAAATGAACGACGAAGTGAGAGGAAATAAACAATAGTCTTAAGCTAATTAAGAGAGCGAGACCAACGGCCATAAAGAATTGAAGGTCATGGCATCCAAGCTGAATTGAAGACACACGGTTCAGGTGTCATATCATAAGGAAAGGCGAGAGAAAGAAGAGTCATAAAGTCCCCAAAAGTATCACAGGGCAGCATGTCCAGGCAGAGAGCGCAGATCTCCCTGTGAATCAGGGGGACCCAGTCTTCTCCATGATCCTAAGATGAGCGCCTCAACGCTAAAAGTTTAAGAATATACGCTGCACTGCCGTTTTCTTTGTTTGAAAAACTACCTTGGCAATTCCCCGAGTATTTTTCTCCTTTTTTCCTCCTTTTTCGAGTCCATTTCGAGTCTGAGAATCGATCGAATTTTTGGTGCCCAACACTTCTAGGTCAATAACCTCTCGGTCTATCCTGCAGCAAATGGACATTTTCTTCTCAAAAAAAAAACGTCCTGGCTGCATCATAGGCTGAGAGCTTAAGAGCTGCCCCATTTTAGGCTGTGATCCACCCGTGAAGTTTTTGACAGGACCCATAGCGGGCGATGAGCGAGAATCTGCTCTGGTGACTTCCTAGAGGCATCCACTAGCGATCATACGCCAATCAGCCCTTCATCGAGGGACTCAAAAGGTCTAATTATGTCGAACAGGAGATGACGATGGTGGATTTCGGGCTTCAATTATGGCATGCGATGGAGCCTCTAATTTCCGCACGAGCCGGTTATTGGTGTGACGAGGTGATCGACCGTGAGCCGTCTGCTTAGCGGGAACGCACGAACTGAACACCATTTTTGGCCGGTAATTTGAAGTTTATGTTATTCCTTGACCGGAGCAATTCGCTCTTGAGTTCAGAGAAAAAGCAAATCCAGTTTTTTGGGGACCGGATCTCGGAGTCCTTTCCGCGTGTACTATATTCTATCCATGTACCGAACACATGATTTGCACTCCGTACTCGGCCTTAGTATTCTGTTCACTATGTACTCTCAGGGGCAAATTGAAACACTAGTCAAGTCAATCGTTCACGCGAAACCCCTGGTGGAGTTCTCGACTCTCAAGTTCTTTGTTCTACCTTCTTCGTATACGGACAAAGTTTGTACAGATGTTGTATACGAACTCCTTAGATCCGATATCCTACGATCGATCGATTCCGATTACATTTTATCGATTCCGACGGGTCTTGTACTAGATTGTCATAACTTGATTTAGGGGAGGCCGGTAATGTTTACTCCGTACTCCGTACCCGTCCAACGTTCAACCCTATCTATCTACCCCTTTTTTCACCAAGTTTTTTTTTAGAACAAATGAATTTCTTAGTCAATTTGATATATATTGTGATACATTATACACAATTTACAGGGTACGGAGTGGCTACTCCGATCATCTCTATATTACATCCCGTGCCTAGTACAAATGACTGCTAAGAAGCCCATGGTGTATGATCCTTTTGATAACATCGACGAAAAAGAATATGTAAAAGCACATAAAGCTGGTGGTATATGAGTACAAAGGCAGGTAATAACGCGGTAATTTGTTCAAAGCTTAGGCCATCTGTTTGCAACCCACTATGAAGCTGCCGTAAGAACGTTATATTGCCCCCGGCGCCATGCTATGATCCATGAGAAGACGGAGGTAGTCGGGTTGAAGCGGGCCGGGCCTAGATAGAGCAGCAGTGGGAGTGGCGTGTCGTATGACTAGATGGATATTAAAAACTGCTCTGTCGGTGACGTTCACATATTAAGTTGCCTTGGTAATATGAAACGTAATATATATGTAGTTAGGACGGCCAAGGATCTTAGTCTTCGGCTCCGAGTGTATGTATGCTATAGCCGTAGTATGTATTACTAGTCGAAATCCAATCACCGAGAGGCATTGCCCGAGATATTGGATGGAAAGCCGTTTTAATTTGCGCACTTGGCAATATATCTTATAGTTGAAAGTCACTATCACTCCACATTTGGTTTTTCCAATAGTCGGGCGTGTAGACCAGTAGTCCAGACGGATCACGGATCACGTCCGAGGTCCATTGCGACAACAGACACGTCACAAGCCGATTTGAATTCAACCGTAGGCGAGGTGTTATGGTCTGTTCAAAGGCGGCGCCTCCTGTCGCCAGTTGTGGTTATGGTAGACAACATGAACTATATAGAAGTGTAGTGATGTTGTACCTGGGGGGAAATACTACATATTCTTGCTTTTTAGGGCATCATCGTATCCTGACACATCTTCATATTGATCGTTATAACAGGAACACCAAAAAAAAAAAAAAAAACAAGCTTATTGCTACATCAATGATAGAGCCTGTAAACTTCATTCATTCGTTATGTGGTGTGACTATCTTAGACTTGAGCAAAAGACCTGGCGATAGATTCTCTCACAGCCTCGGCCAAGACAGTATTAGCGCCACGAGCCGCATCAACAGCTCCGTCAATCAAAGCTTCATGACCCGTACGTCCATCGTCCTTTTCAAGAGCTGCCCTTGAGCTATCGCCCTTAAGCCAGAGCTCGGTAATCTCATCGCGCGCAGGCATGTATGCCACCACACAAGCCGACAGAATCGATCGATGTTCCGCTGGATCAATATCAAGCATGAGTCGCGGGGCAGATGATGTCGACTGGTTTGAGTCATCCGAGACCAGAGCAGCAACACCACCGGAAACAAGATCAAGACAGTCAATGTGGGCATCCGCAATGGCAGCAGAAGCCGCTGTGATGCAACCAGCAAGAACATTCATCATTCCCCACGACGCATCATGCGAGTCCGGGGCATCCCCCCACCAACGATCATCCTCTGCTTCAATGATTGTGAGAGTAATGTCCAGACCACTCTTGGGCCAACGCTCGGCAATGATTGCGCCACGGAGGGCGGTCTCTAGATGTACGCCAAGGTCACGCTCGCTGGCATCACGAATATGTCCCCTCCGCTTGCGAGCGGCGAATGGCGCGTACTTGACATGAGTGGTGAGAACGAGATTTGGCGAGAATGCAGCAGAGCGGGGGAGGGGCTTTGGTCCGTGGACTGTGCAAGCCAACTTGAGTGCTGAGGAGGGTGGGATCAGAGATTTGGGGTTGGAGCGGGCGGCGGCGAGGGAAGCGGATGGTTCAAATTCAAGGTATGAAGAGCCTGAGGCAGTTGGGATCAATCCTGTTTTGAGAACTAGAGCATTGAAGGTTAGCTGCGATCAACAAGAAGCTTGTCGGTGGTTCATACAGATTTTCCGTAATTCTGTGGGTTGGCGCTGGCGCTGGGCGCGGTTTGCCACGCCTGTTGAGGATTCTTGGAGGGATGCAAAGACTGGAGGTCTTGTGCCACCAGGTGGCCCATTGATACGTCTTCTATCAGCCATTTTAAGTAATTTGGCGCAATACTGAAGCTGTCGAGATATCGCGGTTGAAGTCCCAAAAACGGAAATCTTGGGAGTTTGCATTGTTTGTAGGCCCCACCGCCTAGCGTCGTTTGGCTTTTTGGCGACTTTTCTTCAAATTTTTGCTCGTCCCTTTCTCTTCTCTTCTTCACACACTCTCTTTACAGAGAAAAAGAGGAAACTCCTTCTAATGTCGATGGAGTTGACTCTTGGTGATATTTGATATATCTCAACTCTTATCACTAACATGCTAAACGTGAGTACCCTTCAATCCCTCCAACCCTGTCTTTTATGATTGAGAGAGTTCCAACTCCTGTTTGGCGACAAAAAATGGGCCATGAACAAACATGCATCACCATCTGATTATGACACTAAATCTGCCATTGTTTTCAATATTCCACTGCTATGTATCAGGGACTAACAATTGTTTAAAGACAGGAATATAAACCCTCTTCACTTGTTTGGAGTACATCGGGAATCTCTTTGAAATTTCAACTAATCAAGGTAAGACAATACTTTTCTCCCTTCCCATCCCACCTGCACTCATTATGATGAGAAAACATTTTCAGTTCTGCTTCTGCAAAATTTTTGAAGATAACAAAATACCTTACCAAAAACTCCTGATCTTTTTTGAGTCCATATCAAATGTCTTTCACCCATCCTGTCAGTGACAAGAGTGCTGACAAGTTAAAGATCTAGCTGTAATCCGCACATCATTGATGCTCTACCTCTTATCATCTATGCAAAAGGTACATCATTGTTTTTCTTCTACTGCACGCCACACCCCAGTTATTATGATGACAACCAGTCTATCCATTCAATGACCTCTTAATTGAGGACCGCCCCTCAGGTTGCACCCAGGCCGTACAGCATTGTGAGGAATACAGGCGTCGATCCACTGTCTTCCATCTCCCTTATACTGGACCATTCGTGCCTTCGGGTGTGAATGGGAGGAAGGTTGTGGAGCCTGGAGGCTTTGGGCTCGTCGTCGTCTGATTATGTTCTTTGTATTGTTGTCTTGTCCGCGGCATGGTACTGCTATACTTGGCTTGTGTTGGTTTTCTAATGCTGGGCTGCTTATCCGTCTTGGGTGACAGTCCGGTGCGAGTGGCCAACAGGGGAAGGGATGAATTAATCCGGCTTGACTGAATACTATATGTGCTCCTACTTTTGCTTGCAATCGTGGAGTCATTCGTGCTTGCTTTGCTCCTTTGGTTCTTTTGGACTTTTGCTAACCGCATTTCAAGCTTTACCTAGGTCTGCATTTCAGAATCATGGTTTATAGTAATATACACTTGCATAATAGCACACATTTTCTTCATAAAAGACATTTATAGTAGTCGAGTAAATGAGTTTGTTTAGGGTTCATCAGTAGTCAAGTTGTGTCTGCTAATGCTCGGGTTTATTTTCTGATACGTAGGGCCCTTGAGTTGTAGGTACTGGGCAGTCGAGCGCCATTACAGAAGTCCCGATAAAGATGGACACTTGTACTGATTTTACAATTGCAAGCCTTACATCCCATTTTCCCAAGACCTAGAGATAAAAAAAAAAGGCACA